AGAGTACAGCAGCCAAGAATCAGAAAAAGAGACAATACCACGATCTACCTACTGCTGTCACACGTTATCCACTTCTTGATCTTAGAGTGACACTTTAACGCAGCATAACTCTCCTACACACCACTATCTTCACTCAGGGCAACAAACGCATCGCGAGGTTCTCTAAGCTTCTCAGACATCTAGCACAGGATCAGAAGCGAATGGGCATGATGCTCTGTCTGCTTCCAGACGTTTCCATTCTGACGTGAAGTTTCACGCACAGCATACACTCTACTAAACCATCATTACACGAGGATCAACAAAACACCATTCTCGCGAGTTCCTACTCAGTACTTAACAGAGTCAGCACAGGAGATCATGAACAGCAATCATGATGAGCTACCTCTGCTCCGACTGTTTCCATTCCGACGATGAAGTTCACGCGCTAACTCTCCAATCATCTACATTCAACAACAAAAGGGAGCACACCAAGACACCGACTACGGTTATCTAGCTTAAAGAGGCAGCAAGCACGGATAATAAGCAACGCATGATGCTCCTCATGCTCTCCGCCAGTCACTTCCAGTCATGACGCTGACTATTCCCGCAGCGCACAGTCCACATCTAAACTAATTACGAGAGAACAAAACCAACCGACATCGCGCGCGTTCTCTAGCTTAAAGAGGCAAGCAAGCAGGATACGAAGTACAGACATGATGCTCTGCCGTATTCCATCACGTGACTTCAACTTCATCACCACGCAGTCTAAATCTCTAAACCAGATCCCAACATTGGATCAAATACAACAACCGAACAAATCCAGATTCTCGTAGCTCAAAGAGGCAAGCAGCAGGATCAGAATCAATGCAATGAAATGCTTCCTGCTGTCTGCCGAGTTTCATCCTGACGTTGACTATTACACGCAGTCTACAAATCTCTGAACTACTCTACGACGCACAGAACAAACCGACCATAGTTCTCCTCACTAATAGAGGCAGCAGCAGATCAGAAGCAACCAGCATACAATGCCAAACTCCATCAAGTTGACTTTGATGGCGATGGCGCCAGAGACGATGGTGGCAGGAGTTTTCGGCCCGATATGCAGCACGGCAGAGTGGCTTAAGTCCAAGAAAACGACTTAGGTCTTCGAAAATTTTTCGACGAGGATTGCCCGTTGAGAAGAGACAACTGGCGATGCATCAGCCCGGAGACATACCAAACCCATATATCTTCTCACCAGACACATATATATAGGGAGAGTCGTGTTCGCTTGCCTTCTCTTGCTACCGAGGACAGAAGGAAAACAAAAGCTAGGTTAACGGGGGACTGGCTCGCTCTCGAGTGCTGCAGTTGCGCCTTAGCTGTCTTCCATCGGCCCACACCTGCTGGTGCTCTCCGCCTCTGTTGCCGACAACAGTACAAGCTGCGGTAATGTCTGGGCCGGGCGCAGGGATGTAGTTAAGCTGGCCACCATGCTGCGATGCTTTCCTATCTGCCGCCGTGCCCCGACCTCCTATAGATTGCGGGCTGACACCTCTTCTATTGTTAAAGTGTCATAATCATTCACGGCGATCACACGTCTCCCCCAAGCTTCAGCCCATGCGGGGGGAGAGCGGCCGCGAGGCGCGGGGGTGACAGCAAGCAGCATCGAGTTATTGTCTCTACAACACATACTCGAATCGGTCCTGAAGAATAGCGGAGAAATGAAAGCTGTAAGACACCAAAAACCGGCATCGTATTGTTAAGACCGAAAGACAGGCAGCACTCACAGAAGCAGTAATGCCATGCATGCATGTCCAGCTGAGCGTCAATGACACAAACATCAGCAGCTGGCAGCAGCTAGCTAGCCAGCCAGCCAACCCATAGCAGAGGCTAACAACTGCTACAGCAAGCTTGGGCGCCTTCTGTGATAAAGTTCCAAGCGGCCTACCCCATCTCACAAACAGAGCTAGCTCCCTCCCATAGCACAATCTGCCATAACTGTCAGACCTCTAGCCCAATATAAGGAGATAGCTGGATAAAACCACCCCACAGGAAATAGCTCTCCTACTCATCATACTACTACCTGGTTGAATCCTGCCAGAGTCATATCCCATTGTCATCAAACAGACTAAAGACCATGCAGGTGCAGAAAGTACAAGCATGAGACAACGAGAGAAACAAGCAAACTGCTCAATTAAACCCGCCTTGTTATGTTAGCTCATTGGATCTGTATATTACACCTACTTCACTTGGATAGAACTGTGTAATTCTAGAAAGTTCTACTACATGCATCATCCACGTCCTGACCAGCAAGGGAAGAGCGACATTTATTAGTTTCTAAACCTGTTCGGAGCCTACGGTCCGATAACGCCGTGTTGAATCTGATAACTTTTTTTGCTGCGAGCGCACGGTCTACTGCCTGCGCTGTGTCATCATCAAGTGTCCTTACTTAATCAGCATCTCGATTGTCGAGATTAATGCGCCTAACAGCATTGCGGTAAACGGGTAACGGGGAATCAGAGTTCAGATTCACAGAGAGGGAGCCTGAGAAAACGCTACTCACATCTAAGGAAGGCAGCAGGCACGCAAATTACCCAATTCCCATAATGTCCCGGCACCGGGGAGTAGTGACTGAACACTAAATAACCGACCGTTAACATCGCGCCACGTCAATACGGAATGATTACACCAACTCAATCTATAACCAGGACAAATTAGGAGTGCAATCTGAGTAGCCAAAAGCAGCACGCGGTAATTCACAGCTACCAAACCAAACTAGCTCTAATATCTGACAAAGTTGTTGTAGCGGCGTCTACAAACAAGCTCGGTAGTCTCAGAGCCTTCAGTTCTGACAGACGTTTTTCACCCGCCCGAGAGGTGCTATACTGACACGCCATCGAACGGCTTTGAAACTAAAGCCGCCCCCGGCTTGCAACGGGGTGCTCTTCACCGAGTGTCCCGAGTGGCCCGGCACAATTAACTTTGAAAAAATTAGAGTGCTCATTAGCAGGCAAAGCGAGGGCCTGAATGGTGTTGTGCCGAGTGGAATAATGGAATAGGACCATCGGTTCTATTTTGTTGGTTTTCGAGCCTGAGGTATATGACTAATGGGGACAGCGGGGCATTCGTATTACGAGCTAGAGGTGGAAAATTTCCTTGGACCGTTCCGCAAGACGAACGTACGCGAAAAGCCTTTCGAACAAGGATTGTTTTCATTAATCAAGAAACGAAAGTTAGAGTTCGAAAGGCGATCAGATACCGCCCAAGTTTTCTAACCATAAACGATGCCAACTAGCGAACCGCCGGCGTTAATCCCATGACCCCGGGCAGCTATCCGGAAACCAAAGTTTTTGGGTTCCGGGGGAAGTATGGGTTGCAAAGCTGAACTTAAAGGAATGTGACGGAAGTGCACCACCAGGAGTGGAGCCTGCGGCTTAATTTTGACTCAAAACGGATACCGCTCCAGGCCCAGACAACTGAAGGACTGACAATTGAGAGCTCTTTCTGCGATTCGTGGGGTGGTGGTGGCATGCCTACTCATTGGTGGAGTGATTCGTCTGGTTTAATTCCGAGTAACGAACGAGACTCTAGCCTATTAACTTAGTCGAGACGGATCTCGAGTAATTGGTGTCCAGTTCGCAACATCTTCTTAGAGGGATAAGTGGCAGTCTAGAGCCGCACGAGATTGAGTCAATAAACAGGTCTGAGAAGCCCTTAGATATCTGGGCCAGCACGCGCGCTCACTGAAAGGGATCAGCGTTGTTCTACCTTCTCCGAGAGGAGCTGGTAACCCGTTTCAAACCCTTCATAAGGGATAGGGGCTTGCATTTTTGTCCCCATCACGAGGAATTCCCAGTAGTGCAGGTCATCAGCTTTGCGCTGACTACGGTCCCTGCCCTATTGTACACACCGCCCGTCGCTACTACCGATTGAATGATTTAGTGAGGCCTTCGGACTGGCGCTCTTGGACGTTCTACCCTGCGTGCCGACTCGCTCGGTGCAACGGGTTCTCCTCGCCTCGAGCTGACGGAAAGATGTCCAAACTTGGTCATTTAGAGGAAGTAAAAGTCGTAACAAGGTTTCCGTAGGTGAACCTGCGGAAGGATCATTAATTAAAGAGCGGAATCGATGATTGAAAAGGAACGAGTTTCCATCATCATCATCATCATCGTCCTCACACACCCCACAGTGGGTCCATGCAAAACAAACAAACAAACTCTCTTAACCATTAATTACGTCCTTCCTCATAGGAGGGACAGAGACCAATATAGACACAACTCTTAACGGGGGATCACTCGGCTCGTGGGTCGATGAAGATCGCAGCTAACTGCGTGTCGGTATGTGAATTGCAAGGCTACCAGATACATCGACAAATCGAACGCACATTGCGGCGGCGGCTCGCAAAAGACAGCTGCCGTCACTCCTGCACGAGGGTCTGGAAACCATCCAAAAATCCATGATTAATCAATCAATCGTCCATCGGGTCGCTTGCGTCCCGCTCTGGGAAATCACCGGCATAGCCCATTTCCTCCTCCTGCTATTCCTCCTCCTGCTCCGTTGGTAGGTAGGCAGGCAGGCAGGCAGGCAGGCAGGCAGTGTCGGGGTTTCCCTAATAACCAGTGCCGCACCTGCTGCCCGTATGTCATGCATGGCAGAGAAGCCGACGTGATCAGACGTGAGCAAGCTGCCGGGACCGATATGCCAAATCTGTTGACACGGATGGGAACGATATTACTATGGACGTCGTTGCTGGTGACTACAGCAGAGGGCAGGCAGGTAGGTACGGAGGCAGGAGAAAAGAAGTAGTAATTAGGCCGTGGGGAGGGTATGATGGCTCTGTCTGCCCTGTAACATCCTCCTCATGCTGCTGCTGCTGCTGCTGCTGCTGCTCCTGCCTCTGCTTGCTCTCTTTCTCTCTCACACATGGGAGGAAAGAGGCGAGCTTAAGCCCAGGTGTGGGTAACAGAGGCTGGCCAGGCAAAAGTATACTAATAATAATAATAATAGTAGTAATGAGAATGTGGTGGCCACCCCACCTGTGACCTCGTGAGTGGAGAGACCTACCCGCCAAATTTAAGCATATTAATAAGCGGAGGAAAAGAAACCAACAGGGATTCCCTTAGTAAGGGCGACTGAACCGGGAAGAGCCCAGCGCATAACCTCGTGTCCTAACCCGGCACGAGGGGTGTTGCGTTTCGGAGGGTCCAGCACGCCGTGCCATACCGCCTAAGTTAGAGCATGAATGCAGCCCACTGCCCATGGAGGGTGTCAGGCCCGTGTGGCGGCGCCCGCGAGGGTAAAGATGGCACGGTCGGAAAGGGCCTCTCCGTAGAGTCGGGTTGCTTGATAGTGCAGCCCAAAGCAGGTGGTAAACTCCATCTAAGGCTAAATATGACCACGAGACCGATAGCGAACAAGTACCGTGAGGGAAAGTTGAAAAGAACTTTGAAGAGAGAGTTCAAGAGTACGTGAAACCGTTAAGAGCCAAACGGATGGAACCTTGAAGGTCGAACCGAGGGATTCAGGCGGCCGACCTCGGCTGGGTGCGGGTCTCTCTGTCTGTCCGCCGATTCAGTCGGAAGCAGCGACCCACGAATGCTTGGGCGTGCCTGCACCCACGCTGGCGTCGGCCGGCGATATTCCCTCGTTGTAGGGCGCCGCGACCCGTTGCTGGGGACGTCGAAGGCCCGGACGGACTGGTAGCCTTGAGTCTTCTTCCTTCTCCTTTTCTCCTTCTTCCGCTTGCCTACCGGCAGCGGCGGGTGAGGAGAATACACGGGAGGAGGAGGAGTAGGAGGATTGGCGAAACCGCCGGTGATCCTGGCGGTCCTGCGACGGTCGCAAAGACGAGCCAGCCCGTGCAAGCGGGCTGTCTCTCGCGGCGTGCAAAGAGATCGGTGAACCATCCGACCCGTCTTGAAACACGGACCAAGGAGTCTAACATGTGTGCGAGTCAGTGGGCGCACTAAACCCAAAGGCGTAATGAAAGTGACAGGCCTGGCGTGTGCACCTTTCAGTGGTGCATGGGCTGGAGCCGGGCCGATCCCCTCGCCGGGTGCTGACTCTGCTGCCTCCACCTACCATCCGGCCCCAAGACGGTAAGCATGGTGTTTTAAAAATAAACCAGCCAGCCCCCCTTTGCAGTTTTGGAAAGGATCCCGGAAAGGGGGAACCTGCTCGCCCCCACCGGCGGTGGTCCGGGAAAGAGTTTCTTTTTCTTTTTTTAAGGCCCCGGGGCCCCTAAAAACCAAACCGTGTAAAGAGGGGGTTGTTGGTAACACGGTGTGCCTTTAGAGCGCCGGGGGTTTTTGGGCGGGGGTCCCCGCCCCCACCCCCGGGGTCCGTGAAAACGCGAGGCTGGCCCCAAACTCCGGCTGAGTGGGCCCAAAACTGTTGCGGCTTGCTCGGGGCCCCGGGGCTAATGGCCCCCAAATTTCGGTCCTTGCGTACCCATATCCCCCATCAGGTCTCCAAGGTAAGCACCCTTTTAAACGAAATTAATGTAGGAAAGGGGAATTGGGCCCTTTTTAAAGATCCGAAAATTTTCGGGAAAAGGATTGGCTCTGGGGTGGGGCCCATCGGGCCTGTGCGGAAACGGGCCGGGGGCTGGGGCGCAGGAGGGGGCGAGGCGAAGGAACATCGGGGTCAGTTTTTCAGTCAGTCATTAGTAAAGTCAGCCAGTAGGGTGTGTGTCCACAACAGCTTCTGTTTGCTCCGGGCTGCTCCCTTTTGCTGCGGTTTCCCTCCCGAACCGAGCTCGGGGGGGCGTGTTTTTCCGGCCCCTTTCCGGGGAAATGCGCTAGGGGGCGGGGGGCTTTGGGGTAGTCCTGGGGTTTGGTGGGGGGCGGGAGGGTGTTTGGGCGATGGCAAACGGCGACAAAAAAGCCCCCAAAGCAGCACCCGGGCTAAAAACCCTCCTTAGCCTCCCCCGGGCCCCCGGGCTCACTGAAAGAAAGCCCACCTCGGCTGGGGGCCCAAAACGATCAGCCAGAACTGGCACGGAAAAGGGGGAACCCAGACGTCAAATTTTTAAAACAAAGCATGCGAAAGGGGCACAGTTTGGATGTTGACGGGGAATTGTGTTTTTCTCCCCCATGCCCCTAAATGTCAAAGTAAAAGGCGATTAAACCCGCGCGGGAAAACGGCGGGGAGTAAACTAAAACTCCCCCTTAAAGGGTTTAGCCAAATGCCTCGTCATCTAATTAGTGCCCGCGCTTTGAATGGTTTAACGAGATTCCCACTGCCCCTTATCTACTATCTAGGGGAACCCACAGGCGGGGGAAGGGGGCCTGCACCAAAAAAGGGGAAAGAAAAACCCGGGTTGAGCTTGACTCATCTGTTTTTGTAGAGGGGACCAGAGGGTAGCAAAAGTGGGGGTGGCTCTGGGCCGGGGGGCGTGGGGGCGGCGAAATTTAAATCCCACTACCGGGAATCGTTTTTTTACTTATCGTGAGAGGGAAATCGGAGTCTTCCCATGGGGGAGTGCCCCCTTTTTAAAAACCCCAAAAAAGGGGCAAAAGGGGCAAACGGTTGGTAGGAGGGAAAGGGAATGGACGGAGGGCCCGGGGAAATTGACCGCCGGGGTTTCTTCTTTGAAATTTAATTTCCACCTCCTCCTCCTCCCTCCATTCCCAACCCCGGGCGTTCGCGCCCGCGCGATCCGCCCCGAGGACATAACCCAGGTGGGGGATTTGACTGGGGCGGTACATCTGCCCAAAATTGATAAGCAGGTGCCCCTAAGGCCAGCTCACGGGGACAAAAACCCTGGGCGTAGAGCAAAAGAGAAAATGCTGGCTTGACCCGGGATTCCGGGAACGAATTCGGGACTGCGAAAGCAAGGCCCATGGGATCCTTTTGACTTTAAATTTTTTTAAAAGGAAAAGGGGTGTCAAAAAAATTTTCCCCCAGGGAAAACGGGTTTTGTGGCGGCCAAGCGTTCTAGCGGGGGTCGCTTTTTTGACCCTTTCGATGTCGGCTCTTCCTATAAATTGTGAACCCAAAAATTCCCCAAAGGCTTTGGGGATTGTTCACCCCCCCAATTTAGGGAACTGGGGCGGGGTTTTTGACCGCGTGAGACGGGTTTTATTTTTTCCCCCTACTTTTAAAAAGTGTTTTTTCGTTGGGGACAGCAGTCCCGCTCGGGTACGGGGGAAAAAGGGGCAGGTCCGGCCCCAAGGGTTTCCCGCCTTGGCGAGCGGCCAGTGGACGGGGCCCTACGTCCGTGGGATTTTTGCCTGAAAGCCTCAAAGGCAGAAATCCCTGGGAGAAGCAACGATATTAAACGTACGGTCTGCTTTTGGGCCGGTCCACTTAAAGACGTGGGGGTTTTCCCGGCTCGGGCCCGGCCCCGCGAAGGGAAAACCCAAGCGGTTACCCCGGGGGGGCTGCGACTGATGGAATTTAGGGCCGGCTTTTCCCTTTCCCAAAATACAGAAACACCCGAATCCCGGAGGGGGCCGTACCAAATCGTTTTGTAGACGATTTTGCTTTCCGGTCAGGGCGTTGTAGGTGGCAGAGCGGGCATCCTCACTGCGATCCACTAAGCCCTTTTTCCCCTAAAAGGCTGGAGATTTTCTTCCTCTGCTGTACACAAATTTTTTGCGAACGGGCCAAGTAAGTGATCTCGGGAAAGGGGGAAAAAAGGGGAATGAGAAGCACAGCTAAAGTGAAAACCATGCCCCAACAGTCCCCTCGTCAGCTTTGGCACTCCAACATTTTTGGTTTAGCTTGAAGGGGCACAGCAGCGCAGAAACCAGAAAGCAGCTTCAAAAGGGCAATGAAACGATTTTTCCAAAACGGGCCCCGCCGTTTCCTTTTTTGGACGGGGAAATTTTAAGAGCTAACTCTCAAAAACCTTCTTTTAAAAAGGAGAAACCCAAACCCGGGACATGGGTTTTTTCCCAAGTTTAAAAGGGGCAGCACCCAGGATCGGGAACCCAATGCATGATGTCCTCTGCGTGGCCGTTTCCTTTTCGGGACGTGAAGTTCACGCAGCTAACTCTCAAAAACCCACCCCTTATAAGGAGCAACAAACCGACATGGGTTCTCTGGGCCTTAAAGAGGCGCAGCAAAACAGAAGCAATGCATGATGCTCTGCCCCCGGGCCCAATCATATCCATTCATCATCACCACCACCGGGCATTTAGTTTGTAGCCAGCCTCCAGGAGGATACGCAAAAACCAAAACTTTTTCCGGGAAAATTTTTCCGGCGGCACCCCGGCCCCCGGGAGGAGATAAAGTTTCCCCGGGCCGGCCCCGGAATTTAACCCGGGGAAAAAAATTTAACTGAAAGCCGGGCCTCGAAGGGGATCGCGCCAAGAGGTTTTTGGGGGTGTTTCCGGCCGGGCCCGGGAAATCTGGGCCTCCGGCATTTTACCGGAAAGATTTTCCGTTCAGTTGCCGTAGGGACTAAAGAAGATAAATTCCCTTTCCCCGTTTAAAACGGGAAAAGCAGGTTGGGGGGGAAGGAGCGCAGCTAAAGGAAAAACCCATGTCGAAAACGTCCTCCTTTTTGCTTTTTTGCTCCAACATTTTTGGAAGTTTACTTTCAAAAAAAAAAAAAAAAAAAACGACTGAGAATTTCCAAAAATTTTTTCGACGGGGAATTGGGCCCGTTTGAAAAGACACACCCCCAAAGCATGGTGTCCCGGAGACTTTACCCTTTTTTCTCACGATCTGTATATATTTTTATATATATATATATATAAGGGGGGCCGGGGGTGTTGCCGCCCCCTCCAAGGGTGGAAAAAAAAGCTGGGTTAAGGGTGATTGCTCCCCCTTGGTGTAGCAGGTTCCCTTTAAAGTTTGCCCTTCCATCGGCCCATTCCCCTCCGGGGGCCCGGGCATCGGGCCTCCGGCATGTCCGGGAGATTTTCCCCTTTCCCGGGTTGCCGTAGGGAAAGTAGCCCAAGAGAATTTGCGTCCCCTTTCAAGGGGGAAAAAAGCAGGTTAGGTAAAAGGAGCGCATTCAAGTGAACCCATGTCGAAAACAGTCTCCTTTTCCCGTTTTGCTCCAACATTTTGGAAAGCAACATTCAAAAAAAAAAAAAAACGACTGAGCCCCGGGAAAATTTTGACGAGGATTGCCCGTTAAAAAAGAACATTTGCGATGCAGGGGTGCCCCCGGAGACATTTTACACCATTTTCCACGATCTGTTTTTTTTATAGGGTAGGGTGGTGTTGCCGCTCCCCCAAAGGGGTTGGAAAAAAAAAACCCGGGGTTTAAACCCGGAAAAAGTCGCCCTTGAGTGTAGCGGGTTTGCCTTAGTGTTTTCCCATGGGCCCACTGCGGGTCTGGGCCCTCAGCGGGATCAAAGGGGCAATGCAGGGGGCCTCTGCTCTTGCTATTTCGATTCTGAAGTGAATTTCACACAGCTAATCTCAAAAATTTCTATTATAAGGAGCAACAAACCGACATGGGGTTCTTGGCTTAAAAAAGGCAGCACAGGATCGAAGCAATGCACGTTGCCCCCTCTGCTTGGCCGCCTTTTCCCCATTCTGACGTAAATTTTCACGCGGGCTAACACTCTAAACCTTTCATTATAAGGAGAACAAACCGACATCGGTTCTTTTAGCTTGAAGAGACGAAACAGGATCAAAAGGGAAAAAACCCACGATGCTCCTTGCTGTCCCCCCCGTTTCCATTCTGATGTGAAGTTTACGAGCTAATCTCTAACCATCATTATCAGGAGCAAAAACCGACTTTCGGTTTCTAGCTTCAAAGGGGGCAGCAGCAGGACCCAAAAGCAATCCCATGATGCTCCTGCTGTCCGCCTTTTCCATTCTGCGTGAAGTTCACCCCGCAAAACTTCTAAAATCTATTAAAAGGAAAGCAACAAACCGCTTTCCGGTTCTCAAGTTTAAAAGAGGCAGCAGTGGGATCAAATAAATGCACATGCTCCTCTGCTGTCCCCCCTTTTCCCTTTGCGTAAGTTCACGCACCCTAAAAACTTTTAAAACCATCAATTTTTAAGGGAGAAACCCAAACCCGACATCGGTTTTTTGTTGTTTAAAG